TTAATATTTATTATAATTTTAAAAATTTAAAAATATTATAATTAGATAAATCTTAATATAACAAATCTAATAAATATTAGTTTATCTTTTTATAATCACTAAATATTAAAATGTTATATAGTTCCTAGCAAAAAGAATGGCAAACACATTTTTTAAAGGTATGTAAAATTTTTATTATTAATTGTAATTGTTTTTTTTATTATTTAAAAGTAATACTAATTCAATATTTTTTATTATATAATTAATATTTGTATGATTTTCTTCTGCGTTAATGCATGCTTGAATTTGATTTGGTATACTTTCAATGTATTGAAGTAACACTTCATTATTAAGATTATCCTATTGCTGCTAGATTATGATAAAAAAAATTACTGAGAAATTTATTTATCTTTTGTCACTAAATTCTTGACCTTTCTTTTGACAGTTTTTTTAAAACAGTCTATATATTCTTGATAAAATTCAGGTCTGAACTGTACAAAAATCTAGGAAGAATTCGTCTTAAAAGATAATTATTTAAGTCATGCTGAATATCTCAAGAGGTGTATTACAGTTATTTTTCTTGTAAAATAGAAATGTAAATAAGATTTGCAAGCTTACCATATATGATATACTTACTGATCTTGAGTTCATAATCATTTTTTTCCTACTTTGCTTTAATTTTACCAGCTATAGTAAATGATTATTCTATAATCATTTTCAATTAGCGGCATTTTTTTAGGTTTTCTCAGTCAGTCAAATAAGTATTCTATAGAAATATTGTCAATTTTATACATAATACTAGCATATTGCTCACATGAACTCCTAATTTTTGTGAAACTTTCTTCATATTATAAACATTTACTGTATAGTGACTTAACAGAATTTTATCAAAAATAGTATTTGCTAACAAAATTAAAAAATAGAAATAACAAATAATTTTTACAACTTACCTTTTAAAATTAGTATTCCATTATCTGATTTGGTAAAATTAATAATAGTTCAAAATCAGAAAAGTGAAAGCATTATGGCTGAATATAGATGTGGTATATCTACTGCTATTCTTTTCACTAGGAATTGTAATTTTTTATAATATTTTATAACCAATTTATACCTACACTTTAAGGATATTAATCAATAAAAAGAAACAAAAAGGAACATTATAAAAAATTACAATATTAAATAATTAAAAAAAATAATTAATAGAATAAAAATTATAATAAATAGACAATTAATTAAAATCATATAATATTAATTATAAAATAAATTATTAAAATTATAAGAAAGAAAATAAATAAATTAAATATTGAAAGAAATAAATAAATAACTTATTAAAGAAAAAAAAAATAAAAGTTAATAATAAAAATCTTGAAAAATAAAAAAAGAAAACAAACTATAAAAATGTAAAAAATTACATAAAAATTCAAATGAAAGAAACTGAAAAAATGAAATCATAAAAGACTTATATAATATAAATTGGTAAAAAAATGAAAAAGGATTAATATTGTATAAGAATATAAAAGAAGAATAAAATTATAGAAATATGAAAATATTTAGTAAAAACTAAATAAAAATGAAGAAAATAACTAAAAGTAGAAATACTATAATGATCTACAAAGATAAAAGAAATAGAAAGAAATTTAAAAATTAGAAAAATAATCTATAAAATTGATTAATATTAAATTATTATAAATATAAATAGTATTTTATTTTGTATAAAATAAGTTTTGTAATTATAACTTTAGAATATAAGATTTTAAATAAATGTTCTTTTATTATTATTTTAATCTTAATAAAATCAGCAGTAACACAAAAAGTATTAATCAAAATTAAAAATAATGTATAAAATCTTTTTAATATATAGTTGACCTTCTTTATAGTTATCCTATATATAATTATATCTCCCTTTATAAGTATATTTACATTATATAGGTTTTTAATATTACAAAAAAATTGATGAAGATGCTAAGAGGTTTAGTAAAATTGGTCTTTTTGTTAATAAATATTAAGAAGATTCATGTTCTTTTTAGTAGAATTATTTGAATCAATTAATAATATTTCCTTAAAATATTAATAAAATTATTTTTAATTAAAGTATTTAATTATTTCAAAAAAATAAAAAAATAATTTTTAATAACCATCTTTATCCTTTTTAAGTCTTCAGTTATATATATATATAAAGTTTAAAAAATTGAGTTATTTTTTTTTAATGGAATGTAGAAAAAATAATTTGCTTAAGAAGAAAAAAGAAAAAGAAATGATTAGCAACATGTAAAAAAATAGTAGAAGTAATGATGATAAGTCAAGTATACCTTAGTCGATGATCAGTCAAAGACAAATGATCGACTGACTTACCTAGCATAGCATTAGAATTAGGGTAGGATAAAGGGGATTAGAAAATTTCATTTTACTAATGAAAATTGTCAATTGCTAGAGGGTCGTTATCGTCTGTGCAACTATTAAATTAAACAAACTTTCAATATTGGTGTAAAAAGAGTGAACTAAATGATCACGATTCACTGCATTCCATAAATTTGCTACCTGTTAAATATTTTTAACAAACTGGAAGAATAACTAGGAGATTATGTTGATCGTAAACATAATAATATCAATCTTAGATCCTTCGATTTATGGAATGTGACGCGGCAAACCCCTACGTTAGCCAAGATCCAGGAAATTGGATTATATAAAACGTAAAAGAAAATTTTGATATGACGCACCAATGACAATTAACTTAGAATATAGATACGTTGTAGTATGAGATTAACTATTTAGGAATATCATAAATATAAATATTTTAATTTCAGCATTAGAATATATAAATTGATATTAAATTGTTGTCAAAAGCACAATAACTTATTAGTAATGGAGATTAACTAATCTTATTGTCTATTATGGGTTACCATTATCGCTTTTTTCCATGTATTACAACAATAAAACCTTCCGTTATTAATCCTACCCATCATTTTGAAGGCGAAAGGTATAATGAGACATTCCCAATGTGGTAATTTGATATTATATATCTTGTCCAACCTATGAATCTTTATTGTAGAATAAAAACAATCAAATCTTTAAAGAAAAAACATTCACAGATGCCATAGTCGATTTACCACCCGCTTGTTTTCAACAATACTCCAACTACAATATTAAAAACTTTTCGATAGAAAAAAAAAAGTGACCAAAGATCGCGTAAATAAAAAAAAAGAGAATTTCGAAATTTCGAAGGTAGGAATTTCCATACTTGGACATGCGCAAAAGTAATCATTCTTGAATCATTGAAAGTTGATTGATTATTTCGCTATTGATTAAATAATAAAAAACGCATGTGTCCCTTATTATAAATTATTATTTATTATTTCTTTAGTTTATGCATTAACTTTCTCAACGTTAAATCAAAAATCACGGAACATATCTGATAACCTCATTTTCTCATGGGAAGTCTTTTTTTCTCGTTCAACTCAATTAAGATTTTTAACTCGGGTAACTTTTTTTTCTAATGATTAGTTGATTAGTTTGCATGATCACAGTGGGAATTCACGTGCAATTCACGCAATGCGCCATAATGGTTCAGAAAAACCTTTTATTTTAGTTCACATTATAGTAATTATAGTGATAATGTTATCCACATTCAAATCTTAAGTGATTAACTAACTATAAACAGTTCAAAAAAAAAAAATCAGCCAAATTTAATTTGTAAAAGATTGATAAGAAACCTGTTTTTTTTGTTTAGCTCTAACCACTCATAACGTTCACTAGCTCATTCTTTATTATTGCAGTTTGCCCAAAACAGAATCGATAATGAACAAATCATTAAACATGTTTGGATATAGGTTGTCAAAACAAGAAATGGCATCGACATATTTCAGAACGAAAACAAAAGGGGAATTCTGTTTATTAAACTATATTTGGACCTCTTAATTCCTTTTTTTTTTTCTTTATCGATGTCCCGAGCAAAAAAAAAAAAATAAAACCCGATAAATGTAGTTATCATTCTGAATCATGGTTGTTTTTTTCATTTTGATTCATAATGAATTACAAAGTTTCGTTTTCAAAGTTTCTCATCTGGTCGAGCTCCAATGCTTCCTTTTCTTTCATCTTTTTCGGCCCTCCAAGGAATTGAAGATAATGGGATATTGAAAATTATCCAAAGATTGATTCGTAAGCAACGGCAAACAAGGATCTTTTATTACTACAAAGAACATTTCAAATTTGATTATATGCGCCAAAATAAACAGAACCTTTTTTTTTTTTATTCGGTAACCAATAATAATTCATTTTTAGAACTATTTTTTTTTCTCCTAAAAAATTTATCTTAAACAAGAAATATATCTGAAACATTTCACCTAATAAAGTTAAATAAAAAATTGTGGGGTAGGTAAATCAGCCCTATCCTATCATCACACTATGGTGAATCAATTATCCGGAATTTTTTATCACTACCGAAAAGTTTATTCCCGATTGTTTATGGCAACTCCGCAAAAAACCAATCAAATCAATCAAATCAATCAAATCATATTTTAATTGCGCCAAAAATGATTATGTTTAGATCTACAGTAAAAACAATAAAGAACTTTTTTAATTTATACTTTAAAAGAATTGTAAAGATTCTTCATGATTATCAATCAACTTGAGAAAACGGAGGAAAAAAAAATTGTTGAGTAGTCAACATTATATGAGTTATAATCTGTTACTCCAAGTTACTGTATATTTTTATACGCGACCGCGCGCGCACGACTTTTTTTTTTTTATTTATTTATATATATACAATATAAAGTTTTTTTGGTTTTTGGGGGTAAATGATATATATATTACATGATAAGAATTCCCTCGAAAACGTACCATCTCCTCACTGGTTAAATAAAGATTTGTAAAATGAAATTATGAAGAATAAACAAATCTATTTTTCTATGATAAATTCAAAGAAACCTATTTGAGAACCCACCCACCCAGATTTACAAAATTTTTTTTTTTTTTGATTTTTTTTTTTTAGATTGTATAAAATGAGTGAAGTAGTGAGTTTGGTATTATAAAGCTGGGTGAGCATAATATTCGGTGAGAACATTGGCTTCAATAAGTAATTCTTCTAATCTACCACTTATATGCATAATAGCAAGATCTTCACTACCACCAATAGATCTACCGTTGATAAAGATATTTGGGAATGTACTCTGATAAGTGAATTTAATCAATGTTTGTTTGACTTCATCCGCATCATCTAAAATTGAAGGAGAAGGGTGAGTATATTATATCTTGGACCAAATTTGGCATATTGGTAAAAAAAAATAAACGCAAACGAATATGTTACCTCTTTCATCGACTTCAATGATAAAGGGACGTGGATTAATATTGTACAGTGAAAAAATATTCTTTGCTTTTTGTGAATATCTAGAACAAAGGGAATTATAATATATACATTAGCTCGGACGAAAATAAAAAAAAAAAAAATTTTTTTTCTATTGTGTGTATACTTACGCACAATAAGATTTACTGAAAATGATAATTTTATGTTCGTGAACTAAATTATTAATCTCCAATTCCAATTTACTTTGTGGCTCAATATAAGTTAAATCATCAAGGTACATGTCTTGTTTCAAAGCTTCTTCAAAACGTTGTTGAGCGACATTTGGATAATTCTGTGAAGATGATGTGATTTCAATATAATGATTGATCTCTAGTGGTTCATGAACGCCATGACTATGACCATTTGCACTGACACGACCATGATTTTCCACTTCCAATCCATGAATTCCCTCTTCACCACCTTCACCCAAAACCCAAGCGGCGGCGATAGCGGCTTTATTATTCTTATTATAATATCGTAAATTATGAATGTTAAATCCACTACCACTAACGTGTGCTACCACCCATAACGAACATAAAAATATCGCAAATGTTATTCCTAATATTTTAAATTTTTTGGTCCTTAAAAAATAATCACAAATGTCAATTAATGAATTATTCTTTGGATCATGATGATATGTACTAATGGGTGCTAATGGGTGATATATTGGTAAAATCGTTGCTTTGGACATTTCTTTTGCTTGCGGTCTCTTTATTTATTGGGAATGTAATAACGTTTAGTTTTTTTTTTTTTTTAAAAAAAAAAAAAAAAAAAAAAGGCAAGAAAATAAGAGGAGGAAGAGAAGAGCGGGATTAAAGGGAGTGGGTTGGTTTGAAAATTATCAGAAATACCTAGAAACGTGCTTTTATAAGAAAAGTTCAATCAGATTGATCAAGCTTATAATATTTGAATCGGCACGTTAATTAACTAAGAAATTTATTTTTTTCGTGATAAGGTTTTTTGACGGGTAAAGATCAAAAAAAAAAAAAAATTAAAAAATGAAAATGGAATAAAGATAATGGATCGTTCAATAGGAAAAAGATGAGGTATGCAAAGTGAGAAAAGAGGTATATATATATAACAAAATTTTACAAAGAGAAATTTTTTTTTTTATTCAAATGAACCTTTTTAAATTTTTCATAAAAAAGACAGAAAAAAAAAAAAAAATTTTTTTTTTTTTTCTTTTCAGTAAAAAGAGGCATATGAATGCTTTTTAAGCTTATTTTATTTTTACAATAAAACTAATGGGGTAGTGTGTTACCAATACAAATATTTATCACCATTGGAGGATCAAATAATGTGATATATTAGACACAATAAATAATAAAAAATGATCTTCAATAAAATACAATAAGTAGTCATCTCCTGACTTGAATATTTTTGTTTGATGTTATTTTGTGAAACTAAATACAATTGAAATCATCTTGCATTCAAAGAAAATCCCAAGATTCTAGGTTCGTTAAGCATATATATCCAATATCAAAATCCTTGTATGGTTGCCTTTTTTTTTTTTTATTTCATACATGATTTCGAATCAAGGGAAAATTTCCCTGGGTGATTGAAAAGAATGCGTCTGATCAAAAAAAACTTCCTTTTGCATTGTTACCAAATAAATTTTCGCCTTTTTCCGTGATGGTCTTACAGATAATCATAATCTTTAAAGTTCATCACCAATCCCAAGGCGCATGACCATATAAGTTCATTTGGTGATCTATTCGTCAAAGGAATTTCCATTAGCGGTTTACTCAACTTTTGGGAATAACGCTTTACGGAAATTCTCATTTCAAACTTCATGTATTGGTACATTCTCATTGTGAAAATCGAACCTTGAATCCTTTCAGGAATTAATAAATGATATCACATATATCAATTTTACTTTTGGTAAGAAAATATTTAATATAACTTGACCTCCAATCATTACCCTTCTTGCCATTATAAATTTGGTATGGATGACTAAATAGAAGGAAAACAAGAGATTCTTGGGCGTGAGAACCTTCTTAAACAATGATTTTCATTTGGCATGGGGTAAACATTTAAACCATTGATATTGTACACGTGATGATCAAACATTAAACCGACATAAGATTGTAGGTCGGGTAATCGACAAGACTCTCGATGAGCGTCAAGTAGCGTCATCAACCCGAATTAAAAAAGGTAGGGAAATTTTATTCAAAAACGGGCGATAATATAAATTTGAACACCCTCAAAAAAAAAAAAACGTTTTAAACGATCAAACATCCTCACTCCCAAAATTGCAACAACAAATCATTTCTTTTTCTTTCCTTTACCAAGCATTTTCAAATCTTTACTGGTGAGTTCAGGTAATTGTTCATCACTTTCCATGAATTCCAGATCATATTCTTCGTCACCGAACCTTTTAATAAATTTACTTAATTGACCGCTCTCGTCATCCAACTCTTGCGAATACTTTGATGGGTTCCATAATGGATGATTCCTCGTGTCCCTTATCAATTTAATTTGAGGTTTTGGTGAGGTCGTACGTAAAGTATACGTTGCCCCATTTGTCAATACTATTTGCTGGGTGAATAATTCAGGTCGTACGAATGCTAATGATTTGACAGCTGAGTAAGAACGTTTATACAAAGTTTGTATAGGAGAAACGGGGAGATGTTTTAAAGAGATCTGTGATATAATGGTCGTACGCAATTTTGAAACATTCATTCTTATATCTATAAGGTTAAACCCAAAAGTAAGTAATAAGAATAAGAATGATAGTAATAGGATTTTCAACTTACTTGAAACGTCTTATGTTCTGAAATTATCTCTCGACGCATAAAACCAATTTATTAGAGTTTTGATGTAGGTTAAATAAATCACTTTTTTTCATCATCAAACGAAAAAAAAAAAATTGTCAATGAAATAATTAAACTCATAATAAAAAAAAAAAAAACTTAATACTTTGTTAACCTTAAATTCAAGCCAAAAAAATGTTCCTTACATAAATGAAACCAAAAACAAAAAAATTTTGAAACGATTTACAGATCCTTAATGAAATAGAAAAAAAAATTTTTTCGTTATGTGCATATCTGATTTATAAGGGAAGATCAGAATCATGTGATTTATATTTAATGAATTACCGGATCCATCATCATTGGTTAAATCTTAGACAAGCTATTTGTAATCATGCGCCGTGGCGGGGCCACTGGCAACTTTTCATAAAAAAAAATATGCGTCTTAATAAAAACATAACAAAAGAAATAATATTTTTCCGAAACAAGATTTAAGCTTCTCCAAATAGGCATTTAACCTTTAATATTTATTTCTTTTACTAATCGAATAAATATTTTTTTGATTTATTATTCGCATCTCTTTTTGTCTCATTTGACATAGAATATCGAATTTGTATACGTTATTTTAATATTGTTTGATAATTGTACGACGTTAATAAAAAACGACAATGTTTAAATTTAATTAATCGATGTAGATGAATAATTTTGGTAAAATGGCTCTTATTAATATCTTAAAAATCGGATGCGAAATGAATTACGAATCTATTACGAATCAATAAAGTTAGAATCAAAATGAAGTCTTTTCTTGATGAACCGAATGATCGCAAGACATGCAAAGAAAAATTCTTGTGAATTAGGTTGGAGGGTATCACATGCATGGCACATTCTGTGTCTGATTTAAGGAACGCATGCATTAAACTTTGCTTGACATATAAATCAAACATAATTCCGCATGGTAAAACACAAACCTTCGTAATCGAAGAAATTTATTTACAATGAAAGATTTATCAGGAATTCATAAAGACGGTTAATTTGAATGGTTTACAAAAAAATAAACTTGCGAGTAGATGATTTTTAACGGTTTCGGTAAAAGATCTTTATTTGATTTTCAACTTAATTTACCTCGTAATTTTTTCTTGGTGCACGACAGATGTTTATAAGATAAATTTCGTTTTAAATTTCAAAAGTGCGATCCCATCGGCAATTATAGAATTGATGCCGAAATAATAATTTAATGATCATGGGGTGAGAATAACGTAAATCATAATTAAAAAAAAATAAAAAACAAATTTTCCGACAATCTATTTTTACCTTTTAGTAATTGATTTCATATAGATATCTACGAATTATCCTTAAAACACAATCGCGAATTTCCGCGTGGAAGAGCCGATTGGAAGATCAATAATAAATTAGTTACTTTCTTTGGTAAACTCCACGTTGATCACCCGGACGCTCTCATACCTGCATGTCGTTAACTTACATGTTCCTACAAATTAACGTTTACTTAAATTTGGTAAAAACTGAATGTTTGAAACCATACAATATTATCGCATATAAATATAATGCTGCCAATTATAAAAGCAAGTATAAAACGCGATACATTTTCTTTTTAACGTAATCGGCGGTTTGTGGTATTATTTATTTATTTATTTATTTTTCATTCTTTCATTTTAAATATTTAATAATTTTAATATAAAGAAACATCTTTGTGATGCTTTCTAAAAAGTAAAAATAGAAACATAACAAAAAATAATCCTTTCGCTTAGAATTAATTTAAAAAAAAAATTCGCGGAGCTATCCCGTCAACCCCGAACCTTAATAATAATCATTGACGAATGTTTTAAAAACAAAAAAAAAAAAAAAAAGCTCTTGATGATTTTTTTTAAATAATTCTCAACAAGAATAATATTCATAGATCGAGTTGAGCTCACTTATTATTCTTTTTTTTTTTTCTAAATACATTATTTTCACTCTTAAAGGTCTTAAACATGAGAATAGAAATCGTGCTTAGTGTGCTTAGCATACTTTTATCGGTGTTAAGTCTTGTGCATATAACTCGAATAATGATGTTTAATTTCAACCCCTTCCTTCATATAACATGTTTGATTGGATCTTTGGTTATCCTGATTATTGGTATATTGGATCTTGTGAATTCGTTTATAGTGATTGAGAATTACCCAAGTATATATTTCCTTTGCACATCGTTAACATCAATCTTGGCTTGTTATATTATTTTACAAGTTGGGATAAATTTTTATCAAGAATACACTTTCATAAGAACATTAATGATATTCGCTCCTATAGCGGTGTCGATGGGAGTATTTGGTTTATCAATATTCACGGCAATTAGAAAGATTTTTAACGAAGATGAGAAGGCAACAAAAGATTTCGAAATCATCACATATTACTTGAGTTTGGCAGCGGGAACGTTGAGCCTAATTTACGGAATATTTCCATTATTCTCTATCAAATCTCAAACCGATCTTCGACCACAACAAACCGCAGTGGCCATTGTACATTTCTTTATCGTTGTAAGCTTCTTTATAGCCAATTTTGTAATTTACTCACTCATCATATTGAACAATCCAACGTTATGGGAGATGAAGATTCGTTTTATACAAAATGTGATCTTACTCTTAATATTTCCCGGTTGTCTATTTGCCCCTCCAAGGGGTCTCGTTAAATTTATTAAGAGAAGGGTGTTGGGAGTCGAAGTGTTAACCATTGGTGGTGATTATCGTCCAAACATGCTACCGAACGATTATAGTAATACGGATAGATTGACGTTCCTGAGGGGTGATAATAAAATGAAATCTTTACCTGCTTTACCACCTTTACCACCAGTTTCAATATCAATACCGTTAGTTACATCCCCCCCTACTTTATCGGGACCAAATTCGGCCTCACCGAGATCAATTTCAAATTCGAGATTAATTCCAAATTCTTCTTCACCAACACCAGTTCCAAATACTTATTCACCCAGACGATTTTATTATAACAGTAACGCTAGTTATTCAAGTAACAATACAACAAATAGTTTGAGTTATAGTGTGAATTCTCAGGAAACAGATCCCAGTTTTTACCTAGATAATTTCCGTTACATCCCTTCAGATGGTGGCGACCCTAGATTATTTCCTTAGAGATAGAAAAAAAAATGACATTTTCATCAACTCTGAAGGGGGTTTTTTTTTTGAATTTTATTAAATGATAGAAAAAAAATAAATAAATACCTAAATCTTTCATTATATTTATTTCAATTAATGCTTCTGTAATTACTACATAATTTTTTAATTAATAATGTAGGAAAAATAATGATTTTTTTTTTTTCCTTAAAACAATAGCTTGTAATGAATAATTTTTTTTCTTTTACGGATTTGATTTTTCAAAATAATAATAATAATAATAATAATTACGTATCAAATTGTTGACGCACCCAAAATCCTACAGACATGTAGGCGAAATTGGTTTTTGAAAAAAATATTTTTTAACTTTATTTTTTTTATTAATAAATTACGAAATCATAAAAGATTGTAATAGTAAACCTTATTCTCTAATCTATTTCCAATCTAAACAAGCCCTAATTTCGACTATAATTTCGACCGCCGAGCTAGCACGGATCACGTAAGTCTAATAGATTGACGTTGATATTATAAAAAAAAAAATGGGTTCTTATAATCATTGTGAAATTTTATTATTTACTAAATCCATAAAGATTTGTTGAGTTTGTTGGATTGTGAAACCACCAATAAGAAAGATATTCAACAAGTATGTGTAATTTCCGTCAAAATAATCAGACTTTAGAGTGGAGATATCGTTGACGACTATATCAAGTAAATCCGGATTTATGATTGGTTCAATCGTAATGTTTTTAACATTGAGATAATGTTGTTTGACGCGTTTTTGAAGTAAATATTACGTTATTTTAATCTTATTACAATCACTTCATTCCCCATTATATTTTTCTACGTGCATATCATGCGTAAAAAAAATTTTTTTTGTTTCTTTAAAAGAAGTATGAGCAGTCGAAGATCATTTCTGTAAGATAATTTTCTAAAATTTGTGTATAATCAATGTAACTTAGGGTTAGGGTTAGACATGAAGTTAGGGTTTTGAGGTTTCGTTTTTTGAGAGTGGAAAATAAGACATTCGTCCATGAATAAATAAGTTTTTGAAATGATCGAAGCTAGCCATTTTTTTTTATCATTGACGAAAACCATTTTCATTAATTGCCGAATTATTTGAATCAAAATACATTAAAGAAAATAATATTTGGTTTACATTTATTGACAACAATAGGAAAACTCTACAATTTTTTTTTGTTAGCCCAATATATTCATACCAATTCAAACGCTATTTAGTGATAATATTTGGTGTAAAGACCCTCTCCTCGACCTACTATTTTAGATGAGAATCGAATGACTTTAGTTCAAATTCATTTTTTTGATTTTGATATTTCTTAAAAAAACTTTCAAATGGGAGTTTCAATTTAAATTTCAATTGAGAAAATGTTTGTCACATGATTTTCTTGTAATTTATACGAATTCAAAAACGCGTGTCGGCGTTTCGATGCGAGTGTTAAAAGTTTGTTACCAAAAATTCCTTTTGGAAAACATTTCTATCCAAATTAAGCACCATAGGAATAGATTTTTTTTCGAATTCTTATTTTAAAAATAGCGTGTAAATGGCTAGTTTTAATTATTCCAAAAATGTTTTATTTTTTCATATTTTCTAATTGCAAATTTAAACCTTAAAATCTTTTACTCAAAGACAAAATTGTACTTTATTTTTTTTTGATTAATTTTTTATTTACATTATCGAGTATAGTAACTACGAAATTCACGAAATAAACAATAATTTCAATATCTTTATTTTTTCAAGAATATACATAAAGTTAAGATATAAAACGATAACATCGTTTGTATACTTATTCTAAGGTAGAAATATGCCTATCAAAATTATCAAACGGTTCTTTGACAAACTTTGGTCGTAATCTTATCATAAACACATTGCTCAAAGAAACGAAGCAATTCAGCCTCTAATTCTACATCCAGCCTTTTTCATAAGGTTATTTTGTAACGCGTCCATATTAAATTCTCCAAGCAGTAGCAGTTGATGTAAGATTGAACAAGCGGAATTCTGTTTTAACAATGCTAATATCAAATGAACTTTCTTGGTTGTGTGTTTTATCAAACGATTATTTTGCTAACAAATTGGTTGTTACGTTTAAAAAGTGCTTTCTCTATTTCATTTTTTTTTTTTTTTTTTTTTTTTTTTTTTAATACCGTATTTCTCCATTGATGTTCTTCGCCCAGTGATTAGATAATTTATTGAAAATAACTCATTTGAAAGTTTCTTGCTAATACTTGATACCTTCTGGATGTAGAGAGATTCTAGGAAAGAATTGCAGGTAGTTGAAATTTGTTTGGTTGATCCACCTTCAGTTTGTGAGGAGACAGAAATTCTAAATCAAGCGTCTTATGGATAAAATATCTATCATCAAAGGATGGCGTTTTTCTAGAAGTAGATTTCATTTTCTCAATGAATTATAATTACAGCGACCTGTTAATTTTACAATATAAAAGTTTGTCAAGAGAGTCCAAAGCAAGGATGAGTATTAAATAAATGAATAATTAAAAAATGATTCAAACAAAATTACAATATATATATATATATATATGAATTACCTTTATAGCACGTTCCATTGATCGGGTTTGTTTAATTTGAGTATTTGCCAACAACTACAACGCCGTAATAATTATTGAGAATTATATCATTATTCCTAGAGTATAATGAAATATTTTTTTTTTTAAATAAAAGGTAAGAAATATTGAAGAAAACAACAATAATATGTTACCTGCACCATAAGTTGCTTTTAACATTTTGTGGTAGCGTTACGTTCACTATAATCTCCAAGCTAATTAAGTCAGCTTATCTCAGCGTTAACAACTAAACTGTTTCCGGTACAGAGTTGCTATTGCAAATTGTCCATTTTGATTCAACAAGCACTTCTACCTTTTGGCCTAATTTCTTTCAACGCAGCTCATATCGAACAAGAATTTAAACGATATTTCGTCGCGAATTACTTTGACAAAATGTCAATTGAATTTTTATAATAGTACGATATTACTATACAGGAATGTTTGTTAATCGGAAGGCTTGAATTTTTTGTACAAATCTCAGAAATTTTCAAGCGATCACATGATAAGACTAATCCGAGTCACGTTCAAATTTCACCCATATGTAATATTTCTGAAAATCGCAATCATGAGATTTTTTTTTTTTAAAAAAAAAAAAGTACCATCCTTAAACTGCAATTTTACACTTCCCACCTTTTTTTAACATAAATAACTAAAAACGAAAGTGGAACGAACTTTATTAATTGAGCGAAACATTTTTACTCTTTAACAAATAAAAAATACCTTCAACGACGAGACAGCAACCACAGCAACGACAACGACTACGACAACGACTAGTCGAACAGCCAAGTCAGTAGTGATATCTCCTTTTCCCTCACACACTCATTTTATTTGATTTTTAGGAGCTTTTAAACTTGGGCTAATTCTTGAGAGCTTATATTGAAAGGAACTAATAATTCTTCCCTCAATATTTTTCCCGGATGAACTACGACATTGACACGATAACGATTATGACTACGATGATGACAACGACGTCGATAACTATAGCGACAAGAGTAATATGTTAAACTTATTAAAGGGAATTATCCGAGGTAGCTGCAGGACTTAAAAGTAGATATGCTTATACCTAATGTGTTAATTATTCATTAGAGTTTCGGACTTTTCTAATCAAACAAAATTCTTTTTTATTTTTTTTATTCTAGATCTTGGATTTTCAATATAGCAGATTCTCATTTCAAAATAATCGATCACCTTGTCAAAGCAACCCTACTTGTAAATTAATTGATCATGTAAGTTTCATACCCATGCTTACACCTAATGCGTCAATTGTTCAAGAACATCCTTGAATTAATACCCATGTGTAATCAGATCTTATTAGAGTATCTCATATATTTGTTTAGAACACATGCGTCACTGAATTACTCTAATCAAACAAAATTCCTTTTTATTCTAGATCTTCAAAAAACTGCT